GTGGGGAAGGGGAGGGCAGGGAGCCAGGAGAGGGGAAGAACACAGCCAACAGAAGCAGGCATTCCCAGGAGGCACTGGTGGGCTTGGCTCCTTTGGTCCACTGGACCAGGGACCAGGCTTTATAAACCACAGCTCTGGAGAGACAGTTTGAGAGACAGATCTGAGCACAAATGCCGCAGCTGGTTCACCCAGATGACCCTGTCACTGATCACTGCCCTGGGAAAACTCAAGGCCTAATTTTGAACCCCACACCAGAAAATACAGTCTCCCCATTCTTATTCATAATAGTGAGGGTGCTTGGTTTAGTTTAGTAAAGTTGCAGAGGAGAGTTAAGTCTCCTACTAGTAAGTACTCTCTGCTAGTGCTTAGTGCTTACTACTTGCAGCAGCAATGTCAGAGCTCCCCAAACAAAAGAAGATAGCAAGGGAAAAGAAAGCCCCTTATTATGGTCCTAAAAATTTCCAGGGTGGCAAGCCAGGGATGTAGTTCAGTGGCACAAGTGCCTACCCAACAAGGGAGAGGTCCTCAATTCAATTCCTAATACCAGAAAAACCCCAACAAGTTCTACGGGTTAAACAGCAGGCAAAAGGGGGCTGCAGTCTCTCAGAGGCGGCACTCGTGATCCTGGGTACCAAGGAGCCAAAGTGGACAATGGGGAGGGGGAGGAGGGAGAGAAAGAAGGCCAAGAGAAAGACTGAGCAACAGGAAAGGAGAGGAAGACAGAAAGGAGCAAAGAGGATGAGATGGAGATAGAGAGAGCGAGAAACAGAGGAGAGGGAGGAAGACGGAGAGAGACTAGGTGAGAACACAAGAGAGAAAACACTAAGGGAGATGCAGAGAGATGGGGGAGAAAGGGAGGGACGGAGCAGAGACACAAGGGGGGAGGGGAAAGATGGAAGGAAAAGGAAGAAAGGGACAGAAAGAGAGGGACAGAGAGGAGGGCCCAGAGGAAGGGGAAGAGGAGGAGCCTGAGAACGTGGGGCCCGTCCCCAGGCCTCTCAGGTCCCTGGCCAGGTGCAAGGACACCTGTTGCTCTTGGCTGCAACCTGGGCTCCCCACTTGCACACGCTTGCATTTTCTGAGCTGCACAGTACCTTCCAGAGGATCTCAAAAGAACATCCTTGACTCACACAGCAGCAAGGGCTGGTGGCTTTTCTGTGGAAATCTCCCGTAAGGATACTCGGCCCGTGGCCTGCGTGGCCTCAGTCCTCAGTGAAGGGTGTTGGGGATGATATTCCTAGTAACTGTGTGTCCCGGTGACTCATTGAAAACAGGCATGGCTTACTCAGAATGGAAATATATTTTAATATATTTTATCAGGGCGGAAATACACTTTACCCAAACTGCCTCTATGAAACACTATCTTAACAAGGGAAAAGATCGCAACTATAGAACCTGGGGCGGGAAGGCCCTGGCATACAGATGCCAGGAACTTCAGGGAGGAAAATGAAATTCCTGGAAGTTCCTTTGGAGTTCAAAGCCCCAAGGGCCCTGCAACCCAGCTGATAAATATGCAGGCCCCTGGCTCCCAGGAGAACTGTGTGAACCCGTGATGCAGAGCAGGAGCCTCCACAACCTCCGCGCCAGGCTTGGCGGCACAAGCTCATTCATGGGAGGACAGAGGGGACCTCAAGGAACCCTGGAGCTGGTGTGGCACCAGGTCCTCTGCGAGGCCACCTTCGGCTGCAGCCTGGCACAGCCTCCTAGGGCTGCTGTCTCACACGCAGCAGGGGCAACTGCTGGGCCATAGGGCCACCCCCAGAGCTGGCAGC